GAGTAATCTAAATTGCATGTAGGCTAAGTTTCAGACTAAAGGCAAGCTAGTCTTTGCTAATATTAAAATACTGAAGAGTTTCTTTGATTGAACACTAGCGTGTTCTCTGAAACAAGTGGTTCAAAAATAATACAATTCTTTTTGAGTTGAATAGTTTTTTATCTAGGAAGACTACTTATAGGCTACTAGCTGTTGCAACTAACTTCGTCTGCGTAAAATATAAATTATATTTTAATTTATCGATCGAGAATATTAACTTGGAATAAGAAGTATTCTTTAATCTTTGTCAGCTAGACAGCTAATACAGTCTGTAAATATGATTGAAATAGAGTAACCTATGGAGTTTCTTGCTCGTTCTTCTCCATAGGAATCTAACCTTTGGAACGAACAAATAGCTTCACTAGGACTGACCTACAGACTGACATTTTTTTAATATTTAAATATTTTGTTTTGAAGTTGAAAAGTGCCTTCCTGGTTTAATTGAAATAAATTATTTTGACTTTAACCAAATTTCGTCAAATTCAGTATTTTTGGCATTATTAAAGATTTCAAGACTCCCTTTTTATCACATGGGAGCATTTAATCGGGATAAAAAGTATCCTATCACCTAAGTCAGCTCATACCGTGTCTGTATACTAAATTTATTTAGAATCTGATCAATACTTTCATAATGATTGACGAACAAACATCCAAACAACGAAATTTTCATTTTAATAATATTAGTGTGATAAATATCACATTATAATCAATAGGAGATGAGCAGCGAGTGATATAAATATTAAAGAGATGTATGTACAATAATTTCTCCTGGGATTGATAGGACAGTCTACTTAATAAGGAAGTCGGACACACCCAGACAAATCTTATATTATTAAATAAAGCTAAAGAATTTGTTTGTTTATTTGATGGTGTTAAACTCAGGACATAATTGTATGATTTGAAAAATTCTTTTAGTGTTGGATATTCCACTTATCAAGGAAGGTTATAGGCTATAAAACATTACGCTATGATTAATAGGAGCCGAGCAGAGCGAGTGAAACATATTTTACAAATTTATTACATAAAAATTAATGTAGATAAGTATGTACTACTAACTCTATTTCTGAAATCTAATTTAACACTTTTAATTCTAATCAATAGCACTTCAGAAATTTTTTTTAAACATTTTTTGTTATTATTTGGTTTATTTTTAAATAAGTAGGTAATCACTAAGTAAAATTGAAATTGTATGTAAATCGAAATAATGAAAAATGATTAGTAGATAAAAATTTAAAAGATTGTGTATTTGAAATCGACAATATGTAATCGTAATCGATTGTTTTGACCGTAACAAATTAAATTGCGCGAAAATATACGTATTATTTTTCGAGTACAAGAAATGATTTTAATTTAACATCGAAACATAGAGAAACTTATGTCTTAAGGTTTTTAGCTTGGTAAGTATTTTAAGAAATATTTAAATGCATCTTACCTGATAAACCGACGACAATAATCCCAGGAATTATAAAAACACTATTAGAAAATGCATGCTCCAACGGGCCTTCAGACCCGCCTCCGAGATCCACCATTTTCAATTAATACTGAGCTGCTCTCTCCGAATAAAGCGACAAAAACAATCACTTCACTTATTCAGAACACTAAATGTACCATAATTATTATAAAATACTCATACTTTACGATAAATTCATATAAATCTTTTATCCGACCGAAAAACGGGAAACGCAAACAAGTTTTAATTTTTATTATGCTTTCTTTTCAATTTCCCTCTGTTCGGATACGAGGCTTTTGCGCCTCAAACTGTAATGGATAACAAAATGTTTCTTTGTGATAAAATCCTTAATAATTTACAACCAAGTAACACAAAATAATTAATAAATGCCTATTATTAAATATATATAACTACATAAATATTTGGGATAAAATGTAAGATGTTGATGTTTAGTTGCTAAATAAGTTTTAGTGGCAATTCACATTAAGATGGTAGCAGCGCGACAGTAGCGAGGAATAAGCGCAATAGTTTACGAACAGCGCCGCGCGTTAGCAGCGCCGCTACCGCGCAGCAGTTAAATTTAGTGTGGCACACTTCATTTCTAAAATGGATTCCGACGGTAAAACATTATTAGTCTTGTTTTTATTAGTACTTATTAGGCGCCATCGATGTCGCGTAAAATGAGCAAGATAATCAGAAGCCGCCGAAAAGTCTGTACCTAGGTGTATACCTATTTCAATTTTGAAAATAATTTTAATTTAGTTTTGTGTACCTAATCGATTTATTAGTATGTAGTTTTTATTTATTTTATTTTATTTTAAAAGACTTCATGCACATACTAATGTACAAGGTGGGCTTAATGCCTAGGGCATTCTCCTCCAGCCAGACCTTTGGGTGATGCAGAGACAAAAACAATGGTCGATGCAAGAAGCAAGCGTATTTAAGACTCACAAGAAATGCATAATAAAGAGGATAGTATAGACTTACATAAAATGAATCCCTATATAAACTTACATGTTTATGACATAACAATAAACTTACACAATTATATTACATATACTACTTAGACATAACATAACTATACATAGTATATTGATAGTTACGACTCTGCTCTGTTTTTATCGGTTGCCTAGATAATTCAATCGATATTTTTTATACAATTTTATCGCATTAAAATATAATTTCTGTAGATACTAAAACTTCAATTCAAATACCAAACGTCATCCACAAAACCACATGTCAAACGACTTATTTGCGGCACTCACTGGGTCACCAGCATCACCGACGTGCACACGCGATGGCAGCGCGTGGCCACTGCTCTTCTGTTTGAACTATGAAATAAAAGAGCTCTTAGAAATACCTACTACATTAAAAAGTTTGCAGCCAACGGTTAACAGTCTTATTATTTTATAAAAATAATTAAATTAAAATATTCTGACCAATAGTAGTGGTAGTAGTTCTGACCATTATTGGCACAGAGTTTGGAAATGTGCCCGGTATAATATGGCAATAGGCTCACCCCCTATTACACGGGACTCATAACATAAATAGTGAAAAGTGGGTGTTACTTCTGTGTACACCTCTGCCTACCCCTTCGGGGATAAAAGGTGGGGATAAATTTTATGTTATGTTATATTGTTCTGACCAACTTCAGTCAGTTCAGTAACAGTACAATATTAGAGACTGTGGCTGATTCACATATCATGATTTTCATCATATTAAGGATCTCTGTTTTGATACTCGCGGTACGCAAAATGTATTGAATTATTGTGTAAGAATTTGCGCCAATGAACCGGGGGTTGAGGGCACTAGTAAACCGTACAATGCCTGTTGCACCAAGTCATTGCACATTCAGTTTTTGACAGCTATGAATAGTGAATCTTGATTAGAGATGGGCCATTTTTTGGATAAATTAAAAAATAGAAAAATACTAACTATTCGCTTAGTACCTATTTATCCGTTTTTATCAGGTTTCTATTTTTACATTAGCGCCATCTAGTGAGTAGTAACAAAAACAACATTCCGTTGTACCCGCTGGATTGTGTCTTAATAATCTTTTTAAGTTAGAATGAGCATTCTTTTGGTTTTCTACGGATCGAATAACAATAAAACAAAAAGGCATTATTATAAATATAAATTTATTATTGAAAATACACAATTATGTATATCTTTTGGCCTTAAAGTAACATTAGTGTACACAATACTAAAACAAAATAATAACTAATGACACATATTCAATACAACAGTTCTACGACCACTATCATACAAGTTTAAAATAATAAAACATTTTTTTATTTATTTATTCATAATAATTAAAATCAGGAGTAAAAATAGTTGTGTTAAAATTATTTTCTTGGAATGTAGGCCTTTAAGCTGCAATGTCATCCGTATAATTACGTTTTTTAAGTTGCAACTGGCAACTTTAATATATTTCGTATTTCGAATGCCACCATGTTTTTTTTTAATTTAAGCGGGAAATAACGATTGATTTGAATAAATAGAATCGGAAGGGCGAATAGTTACAGAAGAGGGGTGGTGAATAGATGCTAACATTACCCCGTTTTTGTATTTACATTTTACGATATTGTTTTTGGTTAAAAATGATTACTGTGGTTGAGCAATATGTTACATTCGGATTTATGTGCAGAAAAAACTATTATTATTATTTACCCCTCTTTAGATATGATAGTTTTTTTTTGTAAGCAATCGTAAATAAAGATGCCAGTTTCAACTTAATATTAATTTAATTGTATGTTAGTTATTTACACACCCTGTTAGAAATTCTAATAATTTTCGATTCAGTCGCTTTTTGGACATTATTCTTGTAAAATAATTTGAAGAACCTCAACTTGAAAAGAAATTATCACAGAATATAATGAGGCAATCTTCAAATCTCAATAATCGCTTTGTATAAAATTTGGTCCTACTTACTCATTAATATTTTATTTATTTAGTCATTTAATCTCTACCAAAATACATTTTTAGTCCTAAAAAATTTACCGGAGAAACGTTTATAATTTTATTATGAATATATTAATCAATAAATTGTATATTTTTATAAAAAGGCACGTTTTGAATGACATTGAGCGATTTCGCGCGTAAAATCTAAAAAAAAGTTTTCACGGAATAAATTTCAGTTTTTTTTTTCAATTCGAGTTATGATGTTTTGTCATATTACTGGTTAGAATTTTATTATAGTTTTTAGATAGGAAAATGAATGACAGAATTTTTATATATTATCTAATCTCTATTATCACGAATGCATCAAATATATTTTGTAACCAATAACATGGCAACACATGTGTACAAAAAACGTCATTTCAGTTCATTCAGCACTTAAAATTACATTTTAATAATATAATAATAATTCCTGAAATACAGATAATATTTTCAAAAAATCAATAATTTCATTGCATTTTGTCTATATTAGGCTGTATGAGCTAAAACAATAGTTTTCATTTACCTAAATTTTTAACTAATCGATTATTAAATTTACGAAAAACGTTGTATTTTAATTTTTCTTCAGGGGATCGAGGTTGTCTATTGAAAAATCATCGTTTCCAAAGGAGATCCCTCGGCTGAATCCGTCCTGGAAAGAAAAACAAACAAATTAGATATTTAAAATCATTTTGCTTACAAAATATAAACTTGGGCAGTGTCAGTTCTAATTTGTCAAAATCTATAAAAATTTTAATGGCTGACAATTAATTTATTTTTGTAAACAGGTAACAATTATATGTAACGCACCCAACTCAAGCGGAAGTTTAGGGAAACTGTTATAATAAATGGTAAAATGGAACATTGTTTACTTTATTTCTTACAGCGATAATGTACCAGACAACCTTTGCATATTCTATGATGAATTAATGAAAATCTAAAATATTATTAATCGAAACTATTTCATGAGTGTTATTTTCCCTTCCTGATTAACCACAAAAATATTATTTTCAACTACATATTTAATTTCCTAGGTTTACTTTTTAATATAATGAAAAATTGAATTGCTTATTTAATTTGATGTGAATCACAATGATGTTTAATGAAGCCATGGAATTAAGTGTCATTTTGTTATTTTTCCTTTTACCCTGCTGTGAACCATAAGCGTAAAAAACATTTTAAAAAACTAATAAATACATTAAAATGATAATTAGGTACCTTTTATTGATGGAAAACGAAACCATAACACATTTATTTTCAAACGACAAAACAATATTTTTTAACAATCACACCATGGACAATCACACTTTCTTATTAAAAAGTTAAACTCACCGATCATTGAGCTGTCAAAATTAATAAAAAAAGTTTAATAACTCTTCATTTTCTTTGATACTATTAATTTTCTATAGTCTACAACTAATAATCTCTACAATTCTAGATTTTAAAACCTACCTCTATTTATATTTATAAGATTTATTGGAAAAAATTGTACCACTTTTTTAGAAATTCTTGTTGCTTCAGATTCAACTAAAATGTAAGAGTCTTGTTTTACCACTTCTTGAGCTAACATAACCTTTTTAAATACTATTTCTACCTTAATTACAGGTCCTAAAGAAGATACAGGACTTGTATAACTTTTGAGAACAATAACACCTTTCCCACATTTTGATATTACTTTTCACATACAGCAACACTGTAATTCATTCACCAATCAGAACATCGATGCGCACAGACTAAAAAGATAAAATCAATGACCACTCACCTTCATTTCTGATATAGTTTTATCTAGGAATCCGTTGAAATTGCTGTCCAATTCAACTGTAGCTTTCTCGCTAAGGTTCCCAAAGCCATTGAAAGTAGAATTGAATCCATTGCCAAAAATATTCGCAGATTTCTGCGTATCAAAAGGATCGAAGCCGCTGAGTCCGTTCGTGAACGAAGTTGTGTTGAAAACTGACGTTTGTAGGTTAAAATCTGCGATATCGTAGTTCGGTTTGTTTGAAGCTGCGAAGGGTTGAGCTAGAGGCGCTGGTTGCTGGTTTGGGATCGAGAAAGGCGTGGATCCGAAGAGGTCGCTGCCGTTGATTGCTGGCGTTGGTTGCTGTTGCTGTTGTGGCTGTTGTTGTTGTTGCTGAGGCGTGTGACGCTTTGAGGCTTTTGGTGGGGGGGCCACTGAAAAGTGGAAGGACATTGTTATAATCGTTTTTGATGTTGAAGAGAAAAAGATTAGGGTTTTTTATAATGTTGATTTTTTAAAGTAGGTAGTATTCTGCTCCGGGGCTTATCAAATGAAAAAAGAATGAATTTATTTACTAGCCAGAAGCAATATATAGTGAAGTATTTCTTCCATAATAATATCTTTAACTACAATGACTTTCGTTTTAAATCTAAATTATTTGTCTTGTTTTTTATGACGAATACTTACAAAGCGGAGGAGTTGATGTGAGTGTGTTCTCATGCGATGGCGCCGTGAAACGGGACACTGGTTCCGACTCGAACGCGCGCGGGTCGAAGTCTGAAATTTATGGGGAAAATTCATTTATACGCTGGCAACACCAATAATTATTATTTAAGATCTTTTTCGAACTGGCAATATTGAAGATTTTTTTTAAACTAGTTACTTATGTGTTCCATTTTTCAAAGAGATGTATATCAGAAATAGAAATGTATTTGGTAATGTAACTAAATCTTTATTATTATTTATTACTTACCACTGTCTGAATCTGAGTTGAGTAGCAGACCCTCAAGCTTGGTGCCTACAGAAGGGTTCTTGTTGGTCGACAAATCACCCAGGAGTTTGCTGCAAAACATAGAATGGATACATTATTAAACTGTTTCATGAAGTCTTATAAAAATATGAGAAGAACAAAGTGTTGTGTTGAGACGTAGATCAGTGGGAAACTTTCTAGTAACGCAAGTGGAAAAGGCAATGTTCATACCTAGCGACATCTAGGACAGAAGAATGCAATAATTTTATTAATTTTAAATGATATTACTAGAATTTTATACCGGTCTGTACACTGTCAGTCAAGTTATTTGGTAAGCTGCTACCCAAGTTAAAAAAGAAAAAAAGAGAAACCAAGACAGGGAGAGGGAAGACTAAAGGTCTTTGCACAGAGCGAGCGCGGCGCGGCGGGACGGACGGCGATGCGACGCTGAGTAGTTCAGTAGTTGTAATGTACTAGATATTACGGACGACGCCACACAGAGCCGTCAGTTCCCGTCACGTCGAGCGGGATGGCTCAGTGTGGCATCGTCCGTTTTTTATGGCATAGGAGCAGACGGATCACTTGATGATAAACAATCGGCGCTGCTCATAGACAGTCAAAAAAATAAAGGCGTACAAGGGCTTTGAGGAGGTGGAGGAGATCGATGAGGAAGGAAAATGGGTTGTCAGGTGGAAGATTGTGATTTAAAAATACTCACCCAGTGCCAAAGCTGTGTTTTCCATTATGTTGTGGCGGCGGCGTGGACAGCAACAGGTTGTTGTCGTTGTTTGAGTTGAACGTGTCCGTCGAGTTGTTCGACAACGCGTCCGTGCCTGCTGACAAAGTTTGTTGTTTTAGTTGTTGAAAACAAAATTACTTGGCATTCGTCCACATTTGTCAAATTAGACACTTTTTGACTTTTGTATCGATACTTGTATTCTTTTGTGACACTGCAATTCAATTTACGTTTTAAAAGCTCTTAAAAGTATTAATTAATTGAAATAAATGCTTTGACTTTGACAATACTCAAATAAGATTTATTGAATCATACAAAGAATTGTCCGGTGCGGGAATTTAACCTACAAAACGTTACACACTTACATAGCTTCCAATCGCCTCATCACAACCACTTATCACCGTTAATAAAAAACTAGAGAGTGTCTAAATATCCATCATCTATAAAAAACATTTTCTTTCCCTCACCTGTCTCAGTGTTACTATTGCTATTGCCGTTGCTGTTGGCGAATCCATTGGCCATGGTGAGCGAGCTGATCTGCTTCTCCAGCTCCGGTGGCGGCTTGAACTCCGTGATGTCTGACAACTTGTTGCGAGCCAAGTATGACGACAGGTCATCTTTGTACGTTATCTTTGATAACTCCTGGAATATTAAGAAAATAGTATCATTTTAGTGTCATTTTTTAAGACGCGTTAACAAACACATGAACAATTTGTTGATCACGCAAACAATTATTTCGTGCGAGAATCGAACCCGTCACATGTTGCATTGCAACCGACATTATAAAATATGCGTCATTCAGTAACTGCATCAACTGTTGTAAATAAATATTAGAGGCTGGTATCATTAGATTCGAGTGATGGCTCTTGATTTTGTCACCAGAGGCGCTCGTGTAGCAAAACGTTTCCACTAAATAGAATATTATTTGCACATGGCAACTTTTTTGATGGCAACTTTTTTGATTTTGACAGCTGGATATAATTATGCATCTTAGGCGCCATCTTACAGGTGTAAAAAGGTTCGTTTGCAAGAAAACGAAAGTACGCACAGGAGAGAAATCATTTCAGTCTACCTAGAATAAAGTTGTTACGTTTTATTTTATTTACCTGTAAACGACTTTTGTACGCGTTCATTTGTAACTCGAGTTTCTTGTTCTGAAGCTGCATCTTCTGCATCTCGATGTATTTGCCGTTGTCGTTCAAGAACCGTCTAGAAAGAAGAATAAGTTATAAATAATTTAATTATATAAGAACGAAAGATAAATAAATATCCAATAAAATGGTTCATAAGTTTTGAGGAGTGTGACCTCCTTAGTTAAAAAGTCATAAAGCCCTCCTCATTCCCTATAGGGGGACAGTCAGAGGGGTAAAATTACTAGTACTAAAGTAACTATAGACCCCATATCTCCCGAAACCCCCTTGCCTCCAAAATACTTGCAGAACTTTTGCAACTTCTTTGGTATTGCGGGTGTCTATGAACGACGCTGATTGCTTATCATCAGGTAACTCGTCGGCCAATTTGCCCTATAAGGCCATATACCATAAAAAATGCACTCTATCCGGAGATTTTAGGTAATTTCACTTGTAACGCCTCTGGTGTTCCAGGTGTCCATGGGCGACGCCGATTGCTTACCATCAGGTGATCCGTCTGCTCGTTTACCGGCTAATGCCATAAAAAAAACAACCTGTCATCTCTTAACACATTGGATGCTGTGTAGGACAATGATGTCCGATGCTAGCGGAGGATTAGCCTATAACAGTTTTTGTCGGCAGTTAAAGGCTTAAAGAAGGGTCAAATTAAAAGTACCCTTAACCGACGAGCATGCATGAAAATATTGATGACTGTTGTTGAAGCGAAAGAGGTATGTAAGAATCGTAGCCATTGGCGTTCCATAGTCTCTGCCTATTCTTATGGGAGACAGACATGAGTATATGTATGTAGTCTCTAAAAGAGACAATAAAAAAAATAAGATTAATAATTTACCTGTAGGCCAAATCAAACGCCTGGCCGATGGTTAACGTGATTTCTGAAGCTAATTTCGTTGAAATAAATACGAAACACTCATGTTTTTCCACGGCGCCATCATGCCCGTTCATTCCATTGACTGTGCTGCCCCCTTTCGCAATAAATGAGAAGTATTTCTTCGCCCCCTTGTCGTCAGCGCAGTAAGATATCCGATGTAGAGGGAATTGGTACATGATGTTATTCGACCGTGGCTCCTGGAATTTAAAAAAACATATTTTATTGATTGTCAATAGACATAGTTTATACTATGCAATAGATGTCGCGGTAGGCCCAGATGGAGATGGTGGGATGAAATTGACGCATATGAAAAAGATTAGCCACAGAAAGAGACAAGAAAGAGACAAGTGGAAGGAAGGTAGGGAGGCCTTTGCCCTGCAGTGGGTCGACCATGACTAAAAATAAAATAAATATAACATAACATCACGCCTATGGAAGGCGTGATGTTATGTACCCCCGAAGGGGTAGGCAGACGTGCACATCACGCCACTGTACAATGTAACACCCACTTTTCACTATTTATGTTACGAGTCCCATGTAATAGGGGGTGAGCCTATTGCCATAAACCGGGCACAATTCCAGACTCCGTGCTACTACTGAGATTTTTTAAAAACCCAGTAATATTTTGCCCGACCCGGGAATCGAACCCGAGACCACTTGCCTGGCAGTCGCACTAGCGACCACTCGGCCAACGAGGCAGTAAAATAAATAAATGTAATTGATTATAGTTTTTACGTAAGTGTTTGACGAGATAACTCGATTAGATTCGAGATACTCTGGGGGCTCATAGTTATGAGTATTAAGTATCTACTGCATGATAATCGCTATAGAGAGTGCTGATTGTCGAAAGGATTTAACACTAGAAAGACGGAAAACATCATCTACCTACAAAGACGGCGAGCGGTCAAATGATTGCTCCCGTCTTTCTAGTGTTAACGATTTAACTCTTAGACATAATTATCTGGTTAAATCGTTAACTCGCTTCAACAGCGTAATTGTACCTAATTTTGTTGGCTCAGATGAGAGTACTTAAATCTTCTATGTACATCAAAATTGATAATTAATTTGTTTTGCTAAATTAACTAAAAATCAGCTGCGCGACATCGCATCGCCGCGACCGCGCACGCTGCTCATGAGGAAGAACCCCTCTGTGGTTCGATACTAGTAGAGCTTTTCTCAGTACATTCACGTGAGTAACCAGCGATTTTAGTTAATTTAATATGTCCTTTTGGGAATTTAAGTATTGTGGAGGATTTGAGGATTGGGGACACTGGGGAGGGGGGTAGTTAGGCCTCCGGTAATCTCACTCACGCGACGAAATACAACGCAACCATTGTTTTACGTCTATGTTAGTTAATGCACGATGTAGGAGACAATCCTAGTATGAGGCAACGTTTTTTAAATAAAGAAAAATAACTAAAAGATGCAGCTGTTACTGGCTAACTAGATAATAAACTCTACAATCAAGTACCATTTTGACAATAGAGAGTGTCGCGCATTTCGCTCCTGACCTTGCGTGTTCACACCGTGACGTGAAAGCGACGGAAACGCCCGAGTTCACCCGAACGCACTCGGCTAACCACCATTGATTGTGATTACAGCTGTATGTGTGTGTTTACCTTATTTCTAATGACTTAGGTACTGTTTTGATTCAGTGCCTTTTTGAGTTGGCTATTTACGTGGTGATTTCAAATTTGCAATTTCTTTTACATGGTAGAAAAATTAACATACAGATGTTTTTTTGATCGGTGCTAGGTAGCTTTTGCTTTAGGATATACACAGGAGCTATAGACCTAATGGACTTTGGTTCAAAAATGTCTCAATTAGTAATACAACGCAAGCTTTCCGCCTCCCTCAGCTCCATTTTCCTTTTTTTGTGGTGGGAAACCATCTAATGTCTTGTCCTGCCTTGGATAAGATGAGAGGGTGGGTGTCAGGCTCTTTCTGGCTAAAAACCACCCCATTTCTACTTCGGCACTTCGAACCGGAGCATCCATTCAGACCTATCTGTAGTGGTACCCCTCCTCCCTAATCCCTCATCCTCAAAGTCCTAATCCCCCAAAATTATGTTTAACGTTGTATAAGTACTATAGTTAGTTATATTTAAGCCCTCCATAGCGTTTGTCTCAGACTATATCTCAAAAAATATTGAACAGATTTCGACGCAGTTTGCAATTTGATAGAAAAATAACTTCGACTGTTCAATACAATAAAAAATAAAATATTAAAAAACAATCACGCTTTCATTAATTAATTTTATGACTAACATAATTTTAGTAATTTTCCAGTAAATTTTTAAGAAATAAGTATGCTGTTTGACGCTAAAAAAACGTGACGTCACAATACATAATCTCGTACAAAATTCATAAAACTGTCGTTTTTGACAGTTCGAAAATAGGATGGAATTTGACTAGTTTATAAGTATCTACACAATTCTTAAAGAAACTTTAAGTATACAAATTACTGACGGCGACCTCTAGCGTCCGGCTCTGGTTCAGACCATGGTACGGAAGCGAGGGGGACTGGGATGCCGTCTCCTCCTTCTGCGAAGCAGTCATGCTATCTAAGGAGGAGGCGGGGCGCGTGAGGGAACGAACCTCCTCACGCCACAGCCGTTGGGAGAGACACTCCAAGTGTCGGGGATCGTGGGACGATTTCCGGCGGCCGTAAGCGCGGGCCTGCGGACGGTGACCATGAGTCCGACCGACCAGAAACAGACCCGAGCGTTCCGCGCGCGCCTCATAGAGCCATCAGACCACCACAGATGGGGCCCAACTGGGCTGATGCCGATACGCAGCCGCGGAACTCGAAGGGCAGGAGTAGAAACGGGGTGGTTATTAGTCAGTAAGTCTTGCCTCACCCGGGCGGGAGAAGTCATTGAATGATTTTCCCCTCTCAAAAAAAAGTATACAAATTACAATTAGTAAGATTTCAATATTGCTGTTCAAAGACCTATAAGAAGAGATCCCATTTCAACTATATAGTTAGTTCATAACATAACATAACATCACGCCTTTTTATCCCCGAAGGGGTAGGCAGAGGTGCACATTATACCACTGTACAATGTAACACCCACTTTTCACTATTTATGTTATGAGTTCCATGTAATAGGGGGTGAGCCTAATGCCATATATCGGGCACATTTCCAGACTCCGTGCTACTACTGAGATTTTTAAAAAACCCAGTAATACTTTGCCCGACCCGGGAATCGAACCCGAGACCCCTTGTCCGGCAGTCGCACTTACGACCACTCGGCCATCGAGGCAGACAGTTTGTTCGTAGTTGATAATTAGGTATAATCATTAATGTTCGAGTATCATGCGAATGAGAATGTAAATAACTAGCATTATATACTCAACGCATACATAATACGTTGTATATAACAGACAAACATTTCCTGTGATTACTCTTAACCGACCGCGCTTATAAAAAGGGTAATGTGTTTCATGTGTTAGTTAAAGGACTGTTGGTGATCATACAAAAAAAAATCGCTAAAACTGACAGCGGCAGCGTCAATATCATAACATAACATCACGCCTTTTATCCCCGAATTGTCTGGCAGAGTTGCATATTACGGCACTTAATGCCACTGTACAATGTAACACCCACTTTTCACTATTTATGTTATGAGTCCCATGTAATAGGGGGTGAGCCTATTGCCATAAGCCGGGCACAAGTCTCCGTGCTACTACTGAGATTTTAAAAAACCCAGTAATATTTTGCCTGCCCCGGGAATCGAACCCGAGACCCTTTGCCCGGCAGTCGCACTTGCGACCACTCGGCCAACGAGGCAGTCACTATATATACATACTATCCTTATCCTTACTAATATTATAAATCGGAAAGTGAGTTTGTTTGTTTGTTTGTTCCGATTACGCGCCGTAACTACTAAACCGATTGCATTGAATTTTTGCAGACGTAAAGTTAGAAGTCCGGTTTAAATAATAAGGTACCTTTTATCCCGAAAAATTTGATATTCCCGAGGGAAAACAAAAGTATTGGTATAGATGGCGCTGTGTGTATTGGTATATGTCACATAGGCTACTTTTTATCCTTTTGTGACGCGAGCGAAGCCGCGGGTAAAAGCTAGTACTGTAATAAAAACATTTAGTTAAATATAAGATTCCCACCGCTCACAGGTTACCGTGAAATCAATTATTAACTAATGCTTTTACTTTCATTCGTTTAGACCAAAGTAATATACTGTAACATACACTCATCCAACATATTGTGCGTGTGTTTTGTTACATACGTACTATCGACTAGATTTTAGGCCATGCTTCGGCACGAATGGGCCGGCTCGACCGGAGTGATACCACGGCCTCACAGAAAACCGACGTCAAGCAACGCTTGCGTTGTGTTTTGTCGTGTGAGTGAGGTTATTGGAGGCCTAATTACCCTCCCCTTCCCCAATCTCCCCAATTCCTGAATCCTCAACAATCCTCAAACTTCCTCAAACTCCTAATTCCCAAAAGGCCGGTAACGCACTTGTAACGCTTTGGTATTCCAGGTGTCCATGGGCGACGCCGACTGCTTACCATCAGGTGATCCGTCTGCTCGTTTACCGGCTTATACCATAAATGAAAACTATTAAAATTGTAAAAACAACGTTTTGTCAGTGTTTGGGAGCGTTCCGTTGGCGTTTACACCCTTTATTTCTATAACTAGCTACTTCCACGCGGTTTCACACGCTCTGCTCAGCTCCTATTGGTCGTAGCGTGATGTTTTATAGCCTATAACTTGTAGTTACGGAGATTGGCGCGTTCAAACAAACAAAAAAAAACAAACTCTTCCGCTTCGTATAATAATTAATAAGTATAAGAGTATAAGATTGCACGATCAAATACTCTTACTGATCTTCACCGAATTGATTATACTTAATTTCAAACTGTATCCAGTGTCCTTAGCCAAACGCCACTTTAGCGCTTGTCTACAGAGAGAGTAGAAATCAAAATGTATGGGGATGACACTGACAAGTGTAAAAATTTTCGTCAATCCTATATAATTTGGTTTTCTATTCTACATGTAGACAAGCGCTAAAGTGGCGTTTGGCTAAAGGCATATATGCATAGCCTAAACACAAGTCATTTCGTCGATAGTACATTTGATTTCACTTTTCGTTAGATGCGTGTTGAATCAATGTTTACATACATACACACATGACTACGTTTACATATATACGTAATTATGACGTCATCTGATTGTAGTGGGGTAGGTAGAGATAGCCACGAGATGTGGAGTTATTAGTTAGGTAGTTTGTTAATTATGGTAAATGTTTAATTACAAGAGAAAGTTTGTTCAAATGTAATGTCGTCTATGTAATGTAATCTTGATGGTAGACATGTTGTTATTTGTGTAATTTATATAGAAGTTGTTTTGTTTACGTTTTAAATAAGTCAGTCTAATAGTTCTCATAAATATTTATCTATCTTCTTCTTAATGTATATAAATCTCGTGTCACAATGTTTGTCCTCAATGGACTCCTAAACCACTTAACCGATTATAATAAAATTAGCACACCATGTGTAGTTCGATCCAACTTGAGAGATAGGATAGTTTAAATCTCAAATTATAGTCGCAATTTTATTTTATTGCTAACCATTTGTCTGTTATTATTTGACAGTCACAATTATCTGTTAACTCCAAATGATTCTAACAGATGTCGATACCTTTCGACCGGGTTGAGTAAGTAATCAATAGATGGTGCTGCTATGGGTTTTTTTAATAGAAGGGGTGATTCTTTAGGAACGTTTAAGTATAATGCATGCATATTGCACCCTGCGAAGCTGGGGCGGGACGCTAGTCTATCTATATAAATAAAAATTACTTTCCGTTCGTTAGTTTGTCAGACAGAAGATATCTGTCTTTTCTTGAATGTGTGTCCGAGTTTTAGTTAAGCTTATTAAGTTAGGATAAAGAGATGTCCAGAAGAATTTCATATAGGTACTCGATACCATTGTTGTGTCGTGGTGGTCCGGAGGTTAAGACGCCCGCTTCTCATGCACGAGGATGCGAGTTCGAAACTTACCAATGGCTAGTACCAATGTACTTTCTAAGATTATTTAGACACCATTGGCAAACGGTGATGGAAAACCACTTTGATTTCTAATTATAAGTTTGAAATCGCCAACCCGCAATGAGCAAGCGTAGTGATTAATGCTCAAACCTTCGCGAGAAGATGCCTTAATCAGCTAAGGGCACTTAAACTGTCAAACACCGTGATGACACCGGTGACCGCAACCTGTTGTTCTTTAATTGTGTCTATAATGATGGTACTCAAAGGGTTAAAGGCTGTTGATGTGATAGTAAAAAAAACAAAATGGCTAAAAATACTAACCTGAATGGCAACACCATCAACCGAGATGGTGATCTCCACCTTCCTGCACTTAGCACCATCTTTGGCCTCCGACTTCTTCAGCTGCTGTGTGAACTGGAGTTTCTTGATAGCATCCTTCACTACCTCGATACCTTTGGGCTGGTCGACTTGCGTACAGCCGAGGAACTGGAATGAAAAATGAACTTTATTAACAACTAATTAAGAATGAATTACTTTACTTTAGGACTGGCATCACCCCTGCTCCTCCCGTGGGTTTAGGAAACCCATAAACCATGACGCATATCATAAGAGCTAGCCAAGGGACTACATATATGTAAACTCCTCACGCCCCAGCCGTCGCCAGAGACACTCCGGGCGTCGGGGATCGCGAGACGATCTCCTTCGGACGGGCCTGCAGACGTGGGGCACGGGTGACTCGTCGCCTGATCAGAACCAGACCCAAACGTAAGGGGCGTTGCGTTGTGTGCGCTCCTCAAAGAGCCATCAGACCACCACAGATCGGGACCAATAGGGCTGATGCCGATACGGAGCCGCGGAGGACTGAACGGGTTGCCGGGGCTCCGGCTGGAAGTGCAGGAGTAGGAACGGGATGGTTTTTAGTCAGTAAGAGTCCGAAACTCCCTCTCGCCTCACCCGGGCAGGAGCAGTCATTGGATGAATTCTTAAAAAAAAGGGACTACATATATTTTCGACAGAGATCGGACAGCAGTGACGGTCTTTGATAAACCTGAACGTGAACCTAACAATTGGTATATAGGTATCTTTTTTTATGGTATAAGCCGGTAAACGAGCAGACGGATCACCTGATGGTAAGTAATCGGCGTCGCCCATGGACACCTGGAACACCAGAGGCGTTACAAGTGCGTTACCGGCCTTTTGGGGATTAGGAGGTTGAGGATCGTTGGGGATTCAGGAATTGGGGAGATTGGGGAAGGGTAGGGTAATTGGGCCTCCAGTAACCTCACTCACACGACGAAACAAAACGCAAGCGTTGCTTCACGTCGGTTTTCTGTGAGGCTGTGGTATCACTTCGATCGAGCCGGCCCATTCGTGCCGAAGTATGGCTCTCACACACTTAATGTTAGTTTAGGGGTTTCATTAAATTTTGAAGTGATTGAAAATGGGCATTAGTTACAAATAGAACTTGTAGTTTTTCACCCTTGATGGAAGTATTGTTAACTGATTTTCCGTACACAAACAAGTACATAAGGATAAGTATTTAAACAATAGCTTCAGGTGTGAATGTTTGCAATTAGAGATTATTATAATTGCAGTTATTATTTATTTAATTATTTATTGTATGAGGTCATGGCGGTGCCGTGGGACATAGTTGTATCTTTGTATCTATAGTTTTATGACTTGATTAGTATTTTCTTTGAAGAATGGTGGCCCTGAGGTTTAAGACGCCTGCTACATGAGAGTTTGAAATCTACCAACGGCAAGTACGAATGTAATTTTTTCCGAGTTGTATGTACCTACTAGGCTGCGCGACATCGCCGCGACCGCGCACGCTGCTCATCAGGAAGAACCCCTCTGTGGTTCGAAACTAGTAGAGCTTTTCTCAGTATATTCAAGTGAGTAACCCGCGATTTTTAGTTAAAATGTTTCCATTTTAAAGGTAACCGGTGCCTGACCCGGGAATCGAACCTGAGAACCCTTGCCCGGCAGTTGCACTTAATGTGATTAGTTTAATATTCATTTATTGCTTAATGCACACAAAAATAAGGTACATAATACCATATAGCATTTTCTCCCAATCAACCTTTGGGTTAAATAGAGAATCAGCGAAAATAGTTTTATATTGGATCTTTTCGATGTTTTTCCAGAAGTTCTTAACACAGTACCGGAGTATTTTGTCATCTTCCACCTTCGTATACCTTAAGCTATTAATAGTAATTTTAATTCGAAGAATCCATCAACTTTTTACGGCTGAAGCCGATGCGGAAACTGAATTCATGACGCGAATCGTATAGTCTATTTTTAAGCACAAACAATCATCATATTTATTATGATCAAAGGTTAATTTAAACATAATAAATTCCTGGAATGATTTAGATAAAGTAACATATGTTGGGAAACGCCCCCGAGCTGCAAAACACAACAGATACCATATTAACACGTGCATTGATAAATTTATTATTATTTGTTATTGTTATGAACAGTTTTTGTAAAGGGGTAAATTCATCGAATTACTTCTCCGAGTCTTCAGACTCTTACTGACTAAAAAACATCCCGTTCCTACTGCACTTCGAGCTGGAACACCGGTAACCTTTTACGCTCTTCGCGGTTCCATTGTTATTAACATTAATAAATATTTTTAAGTGTGGTAGAGCCATGCTTCGGTATGAAAGGGCCGGCTCGACCAGAGCGATACCACGGCCTCACAGAAAAACGACGTGAAACAACGCTTGTGTTTTAACGCGTGAGTTAGGATAACGGAGACCCAATCCCCCCCCTGAATCGTCACAATCCCTGAATCCCCAACAATCCTCAAATTCCTAATCCATAAAAGGCCGGTAATGTACTTGTAACGAATTGGCTACTTATAGGCTGTTGATATTGATACTAAATAACTTTGCAGACTGTTAGGGGCGTAGCTAGCGCCGTATCTGCGCCCCCAGACTACGGGGGCCCCCAACGTGTGCAAGCAAAAATATAAAACCTTCTCAATTTATATTTTATTTCAGTGATCACAAAATGCATGCGTTCAAAGGTTGGCAGAAACTATGAAATAAGGAAATCAATTCCATGGCAGAAAGTTTGGAAAAACTAAAGTAATCATTGTCCGATAATTTGGGCAGAGGCCTGGCTCGACCTGGAAAGTTTTCCGGTTTTAACACAAATGATTAGTACTTATATTATGAAAAAAAAACTCTTATGAGAATTTTTTAAGTATCTTAAATATCTTTTTATACGGGGCCCCACCAAGATACGTTAAGCCACTGCTGACTGTATTAAAAGACTAGTCGATAGAGACCAGTCAGCAGCACTTTCCATTAAACCTGAACCTTTTAAACCGCGATCTCCAAGCCACTTTCCAGCGGATATTATGACAATCTCCTCTTATGTAGAGGAAGCTCCTATTTCAGCAGTGGCCCGTCATGTCCCGTTGATCATTGTTCTTAAGAACTTGGTGAATAATATACGATTCTTCACATGTTTGTAAGACAATCAGATTCTTGGAATTCATTGCATAATTCTCTAAAGGACGTGATTGTTATGGATTCACTGCATACCAAGTTTTCTTGTTGAAAGGTCATTCATAAGAATGTTATGAATTTATGTCGAAATTAATAACCCCAATCCAATATCTCTATCGATGTTTTTGTCGGAAATGCATTCATGTCAAAAATTGACTTTATTCTAAAGATTTTGCGGTTGCAATTTGACTCAGGACGTTTTTTTTGTTTTTATTAGACAAGCCCGTCACAACCTCCCAAAACCGCTGCAACTCCTGTACGCCAGACCCAAGTGTAAGGGGCGTTGTGTTCTGCGCGCGCCTAAAAGAGCCATTAGACCACCATAGATGGTGCCCAATAGGGCTGATGCTGATACGCAGCCGCGGATGACTAAACGGGTTGCCGGGGCTCCGGCTTGAAGCAGAAGGAACGGGGTGGTTTTTAGCAGTAAGAGTCTGGTACTTGCCTCACCAAAAGCGGGAGAAGCCATTGGACGTTTTTCGTCATCTCATATCAATGAACTTACGATTTAGGCAGAACGCCTTCAGAAAAAGATTAGCCCATCTAGAATTCTAGATAATTGACATGGATTTCAAAGACTAAAATTGGAGTCTTTAGCGAATTCATTCCTGAAGATGCTTGCTTATTGGAGTCGAGTGGGTTTTTGGTCAAATATTGCTTCTAACTTTAAAAGATTCTCTTCATCAACTAGGACTTCAAAAGACGTTTGAAAAAGGGCTAAGTTATTAAAGGGTTAAGTGTAGTACTTGTAACGCCTTGGTGTTTCAGGTGTCCATGGACGACGCCGATTGCTTACCACCGGGTGATCCGTCTACTCGTTTACCGGCTTATGCCATAAAAAAGGGCGTAATTACATACCTTAACAAGATACGCGACGTGGCCCTTGACGAGAGCATCAGGTGCGTGTATCCAATTCCTGCCATTCGGAGCGCCATTCGCCTTGCCCTTGCCCTGCCAGAACAGCAGGGTAGACATCCTGGAACAAGAGAGAATACTATGAGAAATGCTGATCATCATCACACCACTTAAGAAGATGTTTGCTGTCGTAATGAACTCCTGGCATATCGGAACGTAGGTCTACGCAAAACCTAATGTATTTATTATTATGTCTTATACACCAGTTCAAAGCTAGAGAAGTAACCGATAATTTGGAGATATAGGGATAAGGAGATATGGCAATAGGGATACCTATTCAAAGACCGGCAATGTACTTGTATCTCCGTAGGTAATGACGCTGATTGCTCACCGTCAAGTGATCCGCTTGCTCGTTTACCGCCCTATCCCTGATGGTTTTCCGGCCACCGTAAGCACGGGCCTGCGGAAGGTGAGCACGGGTGACTGGTCGCCTGACCAGAACCAGGTCCGAGCGTACGATGCCGGTACGGAGCCGTGGAAGACTTAACGGGTTGCCGGGGATCCGGCTCGAAGTACAGTAGGAACGGGGTGGTTTTTAGCCAGTAAGAGTGTGACACTTCTTCCCGCCTCACCCGGGCGAGAGAAGGCAAGAGAAGTCATTGGATGATAAACCCTGATGATACATGATTTTTTCGATGCCCCCCACTAGGATTTTCTTGTGTGTCGTGGATGCGTTTACAAACATACAAGTTCACATACACATGACACCCAGAAGCGGAATAACAATTTGTGGATCACAGACAGAGTTGTCCGAACCCGCTACACGTTGCACGGCAGTCAGTTGCCCAGCCACCAGCACCGACCGTGCAGTCCATAACCTCGTTTGGTCAAAAGATTCTTCCTTATTTGAAAGTAGGATCATTATCGATTCGTCTTTATTGTACAATATTCAGTACTGCAATTAGGGTTCCCACCCGTACTTTATAATAAAGTATTGTACGTTATTTAAGGTAATTGTACTTTATACTTTATAAGAATAATAAAGTACACGGAAATACTTTATTTTTGCAAACTTCATTTCTATTAAAGTCGTAAGTATTTTTCGGTAAACTTATCGATTCGATATTAATTTAATGATTTATGTTGAATCGATTTCGCCACTCGCCAGCGCCACTTACACAATTTCTAGTAAACATGCAATTGTTTAGTAAAGGTACTAATTTAATACAAACTGCAAAAAGCAATAAAAAATATAGTTTTAAATACAATACAATATAAGAATAAATTGTACTTTATTTTTGTACTATGTACTTTTTTTTCTTACTTATAATCGTCAATGTACTTTACCTAAATACCAAAAAAAAGGTGGCAACGCTAACTGCGATTGACTTAAAGAAAATGTTTAAGAAAGCATTTTAATCTACCTCGTATTTAAAGAATAATTAACAAAGGTTTTATGGCGACTTTCGTTTGAGTGAAAATATTATTAAAATACTTACAAGCCAATTCCTAAGTTTACTACGTGTTAATAGAGGTGGTAGAATTAAAAGGAAATGTCTAATAAACAAACTTAATTACTACTTAAATTTAATATTAGATTCGTTGTATAAAGTCAGCTTATTATACATTAACTTTATAACGCGGCATCTCCCATTTAGAATTACATACATACATACATGCATAACTTCACGCCTGTCTCCCATGGGGGTAGGCAGAGATTAGGGAACGCCAATTACTACGAATCCTACATACCTCTTTCGCTTCATCAACAGTCATCAATCTTTTCATGCATGCTCGTCGGTTAAGGGTAGTTACTTTTAATTTGGCCCTTCTGTAATATATCGATAATCTGGTCACTATTAGTCCGTCTAGGGCGCCCTCTACCGACGGCCCCATTCATATCCGCTCTGTATACTAATTCGTTACTCTACTTTCATCCATCCTTTCTACATGTCCAAACCAGGGTTACATTCCCTTTTCAATGCCAACGACATAGAATGCTAATATTATTATTTTAATTAAGATTCCCTCGTAAAATCAAAAGGTCATAGATTATCAATTAAAATTTTGTGACAAAACGAGTAACATAACATCACGCCTTTTATACCCGAAGGGGTAGGCAGAGGTGCACATTACAACACTTAATGCCACTATAATGTAACACCCACTTTTTGCTATTAATGTTATGAGTCACATGTAATTGGGGGTGAGCCTATTGCAGGCCGTTAGGTATAATAAATATTTGATAGTCAATTTTTCAATCATCTTAACTGTAGAATAAAATTGATAATTGACAGTTTTTAGCATAGAAGAATTGTCAGATATGTATACAAAGTTATACCTGAGTTAAATTTTATCAGGCATTGGATAAATCGGCCCTAAAAATTGCAAAATGTCTATTTGATTCTATAGTTAAGAATTATCTGTTGACTAGCTACTTCCGCGCGGTTTCACCTGCTCTGTTCAGCTCCTATTGGTCGTAGCGAGATGTTTTATAGCCTATAGCCATCCTCGATAAATGGGCTATCCAACACAAAAAGAATTATTCAATTCGAATCAGTAGTTTCGGAGATTAGCGCGTTCAAACAAACAAACAAAAATACAAACTCTTCAGCTTTATAGAGGTAATATTAGTATAAATTGAAAAATTTGCCCTAAGAGTGGATCTTTCGAAGTTTGTAAGCCCTATAAAGACAAGAATATAGGATTGTTTACATACAAAGGTGCGGGAAAGAAGATGTATGTATTAATTATTTAATTATACACATAATTATTAAGTATTATTTAAATTAAATCGTGTAGGTTTTATGTTACAAGTATTGTGTGATAATTTATATTGAAGATCATACATGATATATGCATATGAAGACATATTTATAGGTAAACAATTACCAACATATTAGTTACATACATGTACATACAATTGTAAGTACATAATCATTATGTACATATTTATTCATTTACTATGTTTACGGAAACTATATGATTATATAACATAACATAAAGGTTGTTTTTTGTATAGGTACCACTTATGATTTTTTTTCGAGAATCGCTCGATTAGTTTCTAAGTCACACCGGGGCTTTTATTCATGAACTGCTTAAAAACAGAACTTTTTTAAATTAACAGTGTGATACTAAAGTACTTTGAGAGCGGTTTTCTAAAGTTTAAGTTAGTCATCATCATAATCATCATAACATCACGCACGCCTTTTATCCCCGAAGGGGTGCACATTACGGCACATAATGCCACTATACAATGTAACACCCACTTTTCACTATTTATGTTATGAGTCCTATGTAATAAGGAGTAAGCCTATTGCCATATACTGAGCACAATTCCAGACTCCGTTCTACTACTGAGATTTAAAAAAAATACCTGTAATACTTTGCTCAACTCGCGAATCGAACCCGAGACCATTTTCTCGACAGTCTCTCTTGCGACCACTCGCCCAGCAAGACAGTAGTGCCAGTTTAAGTTAGTCCTAAATAAATATCGATGCAAATGCTTAATTAGAAGTAGGATGGCAGCATATTTACCGGGAATCGAACGATGGCGTAACGATCGACAGTCGAGAACGTTGCGCAATCAACGAAACTATTGAGAAATCGTAATCATTTGAATACAGACTGTATAAGGAGTTGAAGGGAGCTAGAAGCAAGGAGATAATTTTTTTTAAGGGAGAATTTCTCAAATAATTCCTCCCGCCTGGGTGAGGCGAGAGTGAGTCAGACTCTTACTGACTAAAAAAAAACCATTCCTACTCCTACTTCGAGACGGAGCGCCAGTAGATATAATACAGTGTCTCATCTTTTAGCCCTTATAAAAGTGCACATTATACAATGTAACGTGGAAAATTCAAGCTTTGGTACGACTGGACCACCTCAACCGGAGTGATACCTCACAGAAAACCGACGTGAAACAACGCTTGCGTTTTATGTATTGTTAGACGACAAAAATCAACTTTATAGTTTAATCTATGTTATAGGCAACACTAGCTGTCTGCTGTCATGTTGACGTTGACGCTGTCATCTGTCAAATGTGACAGTTTAGTAAAGTTTCCCGCGCAAAGAGTTGTAAGGACCACACGGGTTGTAAGTTTGACGAAAATACGCTACGCTGTTTCTTATAAGAATCTGTTTTAGAATATCCAATGTTTAAGTGTTGAGTTTTACATAAAAGTATGTAACTGTGTCAGTGAGGTTATGGGAGACCCAAACCTACTACTCTTTATCTTTAAGCCCCAAAAGACGTCGCGGAGAACCTAACTGGTTACCGGGGCTCCGGCTCGACGTGCAGGAGAAGGAACGGGGTGGTTTTTAGTCAGTAAGAGTCTGACACTCCCTCCCGTTTCACCCAGGCGGGAGCAGTGTCGATGATTTTCCCCCCTTAAAAAAAGCCCCAAAAGACCGGCGACGCACTTGTGACTCCTCTACGGTTGCAAATGTCCATGGGTGGCGCCGATTGCTTATCATCAGCTGATCCGTCTGCTCGTTTATATAATCCTTACTAATATTATAAATCGGAAAGTGAGTTTGTTTGTTTGTTCCACTTTCACGCCGTAACTACTAAACCGATTGGTTTGAATTTTAGAAGACGTGAAGTTAGAAGTCCGGATTAAATAATAGGGTACCGGAAAATTTGATATTCTCGAGGGAAAACGAAATTATTGGTATAGACACAGTATAAACATATACAGTAGGTTGTCTAAGGCCGCCCGCCGAGTTATTAGCCTACTCTTGCGTTGATCCCCAGGGTTGTCACTTTTACTTTTAGTTAATATTTTCGAACAAGCAGCACTTGATCTAAATTTATGAAAAGAAAAGCATATTATGATTGAATATTTTATCAATTTATAAATTTAGTAAAAATAAAAAGCTTATAAAAAGATTATTAACTTCTTAAAATAAACTTTAGCTGTATACATAGTATTCAGAAAGTAAATTTGGGAATACATTTATATGGAAAAATGCGACTCGGCTACGTTCTTAACAAATCAGATAAACTGTGAAATAAACAATACAATACCACATTTTCTTATAATATTTAAGTATAGTAGGTAATTACATTCCTGGTTGAGTAGGAACTATGAAGAATGATAAGAGTAAGAATAAGTAAGTAGGTATCTCATCA